TTTATCAGCACAAATACAACACACACACACACACACACACACACACACACACACATATATATATATATATATAAGGAACGGGAGCTCACTCCGTTACGCGGCGCTGAGGATTCGAACCGCCAAACTGCCGACCTTTCCGATCGATAAGCTCAGCGTCTTAGCCCCTGAGCTACCGTGTCCCTTACTAGGCCCCCTTAGAAATGTGGTTTTCCATGTTGACGCTGGAATTCACCTCCTTTGCGTAACGTAAGACAAGTTCTTAAACTATAAACTAAAGTTGGTTCAACTTATTCCATCCCACAATTAGACCCATTGCACGGGCCGTGAAACTGAGGCCCGCCATTCCTCAAACCCCACCCCACCCACGGACCAGCTCCAACTTTCCATCCCCCCCTTGGGTACCGATTGTGGTAATGACGGTGCCGGCGAAGAAAAACGCGCTGTCCATATCCCAGCGAGAAGTGTTGGCATTGCTACCGTTGACCGCTGGATCCACGCCAGCCCCCGTCGCCTCGTTGATTTGCTAGGAAGAAGGACGGAGAAAGGCATTTAGTGCAAATTTCCCACAATGCTACGTAACTCAGTTGCTTCTTTCCACCAATTCCTACCCACCCACCCCCGTGCAACTTCCTAGTTCAGCTAACAGGTGCTTGGCTTTTCCTGGTGGTGCCCCATCCCACGATTCATCCGGTCAAAATTTTACATTTTTGAGCACCGCCAAGGTTGGGGAGGAGAATTCAGGTAGTTCTTGATTTATGATCATTTGTTTAACGCCCGTTTGATGAAGCTAAGACGGCCCTGCAAAGAGAAGGGAGGGGCGATCTGTGTAATAATCCAAGGATTGATTATTCTCTAGCTGGGGGATTCTGGGAGTTGAAGTCCACCCATTTTAAAAATGGCAAGGGTTGTTGAGAGGAATTCTAATCTACAGGCTGGGGGATTCTGGGAATTGAAGTCCACCCATCTGGAAGCTTCTAAGGGTGGGAAAAACAGATGTAGATGCTGGGGGATTCTGGGAGTTGAAGTCCACCCATCTAAAAATGGCAATGTTTGGGGGGAAAAACATTAATCTACTACAGGCTAGAGGAATTCTGGGAGTTGAAGTCCACCTATCTGGAAGTTTTTAAGGCTGAGAAGCAAAGTGGGGGATTCTGGGAGTTGAAGTCCACCCTTCTGGAAGTTTCTTAGGTTGAGAAAACCTGAGGGATTCTGGGAAAAACAGATGTAGATGCTGGGGGATTCTGGGAGTTGAAGTCCACCCTTCTGGAAGTTTCTTAGGTTGAGAAAACCTGAGGGATTCTGGGAAAAACAGATGTAGATGCTGGGGGATTCTGGGAGTTGAAGTCCACCCTTCTGGAAGTTTCTAAGGCTGAGAAGCAAGGTGGGGAATTCTGGGTATTGAAGTCCACCCATCTGGAGGCTTCTAAGGTTGAAAAAATCTGGGGGATTCTGGGAGTTGAAGTCCACCCATCTGGAGGCTTCTAAGGTTGAAAAAACCTGGGGGATTCTGGGAGTTGAAGTCCACCCATCTGGAGGCTTCTAAGGTTGAAAAAACC